TTCTTTTAAAATTGAGATTAGAAGCATCCCCAGAATTGATGTTTCTATTCAACCTTGTACAAAATATACTAGTCAGTGCATGAAAATAAGGGAAAAAAATTAAATATATAAGAATTTGAATAGAAACAAAACTGTCACTTTCAGCAGAGGAAATGACTGTCAGCATTAAAAAAATGAAAGAATTTGCAGACAAATTTTTAGAATGAACGAGAGTTTATTCAAGAAGTCTTACTATAAGAGCAATTTAAAAAACAAAAAACAAAATCAACTGTGTTTCTATACCCAACACCAATAGGCCAAAAAACAAACAAACAAAAAAAACCTTAAGCAAAAAAAGGGTCATGGTTCACAAAAGGAACAAAAAAATTTATAAGGTACTTAGAAATACATCTAACAAAAGATGTGCTTTGACCAGTGTGTAGTACAAAATTTTAATTAAAGACATTAAATAAGATCTAAATTAATGGAGGGGAGCCCAAATTCATGAACAGGAAGATTCAATATAATTAAGATGTCAATTCTTCCTAAATCGATCCAAAGAGTCGATGCAATTCCAAAGTTCCAATAGAGTTTTTCACGAAACTTAAACTGTTTATTATTACGTATGAGGAATAGCCAAGGTGCCCAAACTGTCAAGACACTGCTGATGAATAAAGTGAAAGGACTTCCAAAACCAGATACCAACTCTTAATATAAAGCTATAATAACAATTAAGATAACATAGCAATGGGTGCAAGGTTAGACAAATTAACCACCAGAACAGAACAGAAATCCCCAAAACAGACCTCGACATAGTTGATAAATGAGAGAGGTGACTTTGATGATCAATGGGCAAAGAAAAAACTATTCATTAAACGACACTGAGACAACTGGTTACTTATAGGGAAAAAACAAGATTAGATACCTCCCAAAATTAGACACTTCATATCATATTTAAAAATCAATTTGAAATGAATTAAAAAATTAACCATGAAGAGCCAAACTTTACAAATTTTAGAAGATAATACAAGAGAATGTGTTTCTGACCCGGGGTAGGGCAGGATTTCTTTAACAAGACACAAAATGCACTAATTATAAAAAAAATTTTAAATTCAACTACATTAAAAATGTCAAATCTACTCATTAAGAGATACTAGAAAGAAAATAGAAAAGCCAGAATAGGAGAAGACATTTATAACACAAAAGAGAAAAAAGTTAAAAACTCCTCCAAATCAATCAGAAACAACCAAATTGAAAATAAGAAAAAAAAAATTCAATAGTAATTTCAAAGAAGAAACATTAATGGCCAATAAACACATGAAAAGATGCCATCAGCAAAATGCAAATTAAGAGTACAATTAAAAACTCATAATAATTGGCAAAACTTCAAAAAATCTGATAATACCAAGTGTTGGAAAGAAGACTGAAAAATGGAAACTATATTACTTTGAAGTGTATATTGTAATACTACTTTGTAAAACATTACAGCACTACCTAATACAGTTAAGGATGCACAAACCTGTACAACCTAACGATTCCACTCTTACGCACTGTATCAGGAGATGTGTACAAGAATGTTCATGACTGCGCTGCTTATAGTAACCAAAAACAAAAATGGAAACAATCTAAATATCTATAGTAGAATGAATAAATTACAACATATTTATATATCAGAATACAACACAGCAGTGAAATAAATGAACTTGTGATTAGATGCATGCATCAACATGGCTGAATCATAAAAACATAATGTTGAATAAAAAGCAAGTCACAGAAAATTACATTTCAATAGTATTACACTTATATAAGGTTAAAACACCTTTAATAGACATATACATAACCCCAATATCTAAATTCAGGACGGTAGAAACCTCTGGGAGAAGGCAGTTAAATGTTATAATGAAACAGCACACAGGAAACTTAAAAGGTATAGGGGATCTATACCAACAAGGCACGATTATACCTATTTCCCCATAATTTCACCAACAATTATTTTATGAAATTTTTGGAATTCTTCCAATAGATAGGTAAAAAAATGGTAATTGAGTATAGTTTCAATTGACATTATTAAGCATAAAGTTGATCAGCTCTATATTTTAGAGCCATCTGTATATCCTTACATGAACTATTATATGAACTATAATATGTTCTCTACGAGATTGTTTGTTTTCTTCCTGATTTCCAGAAGGTCATATATAACACAGAAATAAGTACTTTGCCTCCTATATAAATGACAATTTTCCAAGTACATTTTTAAACAATTTTTTTAAAATGTACTAAGAATGTTTATAATGGGAATACAGTTATGCATTTAATTATTTTCTTCAAAATGTTGTTACTCTTTTACATCATGATATATTCCACGAATAAAACAAATTTATACAGTAAAAGAAGTTCTCCACTGACATGTTCCATTTTATTTTAAGGGGGATAAGTAACTCTTGGAAGAAAGCTAGAAATTTTCATAATTATTAAAGTCCTACATATTTCTATGACCTAGGATATCAATGTTTAATGCCTGAGAACAATTTCTTGGCATATATGTGAGAGAAAGGATTGCCTTAGGACATGAATTCTAAATTATTTTAAAATAACTGTATGAGAATTGTTTTTACTTATGCCTATTCTTCCATAAAATTAACACATTTGGATTTTTCTTTTAAGTGACTTCAGAGAACACTTCCAACTTACTGCACTGGCCCTCTGTATGGTTTTAAAATTGGCCTTCTTAACCTAATTCTTCAAATAACCTACCCTCCACACACACATTCCTCAAATCTCAAAATAGAATTTCTAAAAATTAGCTTGTTGGGCCAAGATGACCCAAATCATTATTAAAATCTCAGTATCTGCATTTCAAAGGAAGAAAAGGAAACAAAGAAAGGCACTCCTTCTTCCACTATCCAGACAAAATGAAATCTCAGAGGCAGTCCAGTCCATTGTTACTGTTTCTTTTAAGTATATCACAGTGCTATTTTTAATGCTACATTCCCTTTCATTTCTTTCTTTTTTTTAAATACAAAGTACCACAATGTGGCTATTAAGACTGATGTAGAAATTATTTCAAGTTTTACCTTCCTAAGAATATAAAGCTACCATTCATTAGGGACATTTTATTCCTTCAATTGCGTCGTAAAGCCAATCCTGTGTTTACCATCGTTTAAAAAAAGGCACAAAGAGCTCTGGTTTTCTTTCATTTCTGAAATTTCCTTGCTCTTCTGTACTGGATCACCTGAATAGAAAGTGGCACTGACAAGATTCTCAAAAAAGAGAAAAGGGCTGCATATGGGTATTTACCATAAAACAAACTGAAGTTTAATGAAAAGGCATTTAACTATAGGCGTGAGCAAAACCAAGTTATAGTTGGTGAAGCAAACAGGTGCCTGACTTGATAGACCAGAGGTCTAAGAAGAAATTTCAATGAATGTGAATCAGGAAACAAAAGACTACTAGAATCAAAGGCCAGTGAAAGACAACAGTTTGGAAAACTAACATTTTAACTAGTAAAACAAAATTAAGGATCGAGGAGGTAAGAGATACTCAGAATGATTAGCTCAATTGATACTTAGTGTAAATTTATGGGGAACATGTCTTGATATGAGAAACATAGAATAGACTTATGAAAGAGTAGGAAATATTAACATTTGCTTTTTCAGGAATGTTGCTGGGTACCAAGGGTAAGTCCACTGGGCTCAACAGTAAATTATTTGTCATTGAGATCAGGAGGAGAAAAACAGCTACTCTGAGGTTAAAAGTAAAACAAGGGTTATTCTTAGTAGAGATAAAGAATTATAACTTATTATAACCAGAAGGAAAGTGTGAATTTTATCCTTCATGAATCTAAGATTATTAAAAACGAGAATCATTCCATAATTTTTTTTAGAGAGAGGAACAGACTTGCTCCTACTCCAATTCTAGCTGGACAGCTATTTCAACTACGTAAGAATAAGATTCAGCATATAGAAAATGAGGTGAAATGTTCCAACAGTAAATTTCAAATGCCTTAGGTTAACCTTCAGGAAAATATTTTAGATGTAAGTATTCTCCTCCCTCTTTACTTCTTATATGATTTTAAAAAAAATCAATAAAATACTACAGAGAAACTATAAATACAAGATTCAGACCATTTATGTAATTCTCTAATTCACGAAACTATAAGGAAGCCGAACATTAATTCTGTCATTTCAAACAATAATATCAGCATTTTTTCCATTCTTATTCAAACTTCATTCTTAATGTTCCATCATATGACATCAGTAAATGCAAACAGAACATTTTCATGGACAAATAGTTTTTAAACAAGGAAAATAAAATATATGAAAGTGTATACTTTACAAGGCTTTGATTGATGTTCATTCCCCACAAGCATAAAATGTTTAACCAATACATTTGTACTTAGTTCTATGAATTCAAAAATAAACTCTTCTTCATATGCTATGCCATAAAAGAAAATTATATATAAGTTTCAATATTTGTATGAATTGAATATGACTTTCATCTCAAACTGATTGAGAGTGATGGTCAGAGAAGCATATATTAATATTTTGGATCAATACTTTTTATTTAGAATAATTATATGTATTCGGTATAGCTAGTTTTTACTGTTATAATATTTTCCTTTATAATCATATAATATTTCAATGCTATTTTATCTGTTCTGTGAAAAGCCAAACATGACGCTGATGTAAAGTCATCTTTTTTTAAAAAAGGATAATGGGAAGAACTATAGTGTTAATTTAAAAATCTCCTCTAATAAATTTATAGAAAATTAAGGGTAAAATACAAAGCAAAAAAATTTCCCCACACAAATTTGTTAAAATGATCGCACATATTGAAATTTTGAAGCTCAATTTTATACCCGAAGAACTATTTTTCTTTCAAGAGAAAGTACATGCAATCACATTCTCAAAGTCACACTAAAACCTGACCTGACATTTTTAAAGACCAAGCTGGTCTTTAGAAAGGCTCAGAACATCTCAATACTGAGTGTTAACACTATCATATTTTAAAAAATCACTCACCTTTCAAACCTAGAGTTTGTAGCTGGAAGAGCCGACCAAGTTCATAAGGCAAAACCCGTAACAGATTGTTATTTAAAAGCAATTCCCTGTTTTAAAAAAAAAATTGTTTTAGTTTAATATATCAAATTTTATTAATATCTACATTTGCCATTCTTAACCTTCCTTATAATATACGATGAGTGACTGTTTACATTCACGGCAAATTTCTATATGCTTATCCGAAAATGCTGTACAATATTAAAGTACTACAAAATGTGCAATTGACACAATTGTTAACAATGTTTCTATGATTTACTCATTCTCTAGCACAGATTAGAGTTGTAGGAATTGCACGTAATTCTCGCGCTAAATCCACCCCTTTTCTCTGTCACCCAAAATGCCTATCAAATGCAAATGAGAGTGACAGATATCCATAGTATTCAAAAACAACAGATATCCTTGAATCTAGTCTAATTAAGAGAAAAAAGTAAAATTTTTTTTTTTTTTTTTGAGACAGTCTCACTGTTTTGCCCGGGCTAGAGTGCTGTGGCGTCATCCTAGCTCACAGCAACCTCAAACTCCTGGGCTCAAGCGATCCTACTGCCTCAGCCTCCTGAGTAGCTGGGACTACAGGCATGTGCCACCATGCCCGGCTAATTTTTTCTATATATTTTTTAGTTGTCCAATTAATTTCTTTCTATTTTTTAGTAGAGACGGGGTCTCGCTCTTGCTCAGGCTGGTTTCGAACTCCTGAGCTCAAACAATCCGCCCGCCTCGGCCTCCCAGAGTGCTAGGATTACAGGCATGAGTCACTGCGCCCGGCCGAAAAAAGTAAAATTTTTATAGAAACCAGGATTAAACTATAATTAGTAGCCAATCATCTGCATCATTTTTTATAACTGAATACAACTAATCATTCAAAATACCATGAAAACAAAATAAATAGAGAACAAGGTAGTGTAATAAAGACAACAGAAAATGTGAAAAGACAAAAATACTATGATTGAACATAAATATTAAAATAAAGTATAGGATAGTACAGATAAAAACAGGATAGCATAAACGAGATCTAAGTTTATGATTATGAAATTTTGACCAGACTATATAAAAAATATATTGCACCCTCATTAGTGGATGACCAAAAGTAGAATAAAACAAAAAAAAAATCAGTAAGGGGATGGTAAAGAACAAGATTCTAAAGCAATATGTTTAATTTTATACATGAGAAAGCAATTTTTAACAATTATTACTCAGCAGATAAACAAGGTAGAAAAGCAAATCTTGTCTTCATAGGGAACATTTATATAAAGTCTTAATATTTCTTCAAAATTTTCTATGAAGAACACTGAAAGATGAGAAATAAATCCTCTTCAGCAGGTTTTAAGATTTTCTTAAAAAGTTGCAATATAAAATATAAACATACCTTGTCTTATGTAATAGAGATATGTTCCTAAAAGTTTTACTTATAAGCAAATCATATTTTCCCAATTATTTCTGATTAGTCTTATCAGACATGAGCCTAAAGTGAGACTTACTGTTTTAGCCCCATCCCACCTCAAGTCTGTCAAAAGAAACTGGTAACACATACACACTCTTAGCCAGGAAACCTCCAAATTTGAAGGAAGAAAAAGAAATGTGCAATGGAGGACAGCTCGAGCACTGTGCATAGACAGTTTATATCATTTGATCTTTACACACATGTGGAAATCCTACTGTAAGATAAGTAACACCCCTAAGTTTCTTAAATTTAGAATGTTATATAATGAGTAACGTCTGTATTATTTCCTCACCTGAGAGACACCATGTTTCCTAGTTCTGCTGGTAAACTTCTGAGTTTATTGGATGACAGATCCAGGTAAACCAGATTATGAAGCTTGGCAATATCAGGTGGAATGCGACTAAGGTAATTGTCATTTAGGTGCAGCGCTGTCAAGTGTGTCAATGACCAAAGTGATGTACTTAAGCTCCGCACTCTACCTAAAAGGCAAAATATTGAAGCATAAAACTCTAGGCCCAAGATGAAGGCTAAACTACAAGAACTAAAAAGTTGTAGAAGACGCTGCAAATACAGTTATTGTATTCTGACATTTTAATTTTGTATTTAATGCCATTTGATTGCTTCCAAACAAACCTGCCCTCCATTAATAGGGTATAACCATATCCAGGGTGGATAAGTCTACAACTTTAATAAATAATAATAACAAATGTTTAAATAAACAAGAGTAAATTACTATCATTTAGAACCAACCTTAGCTTAGTCACCAGGAAAACCATTTTACCCACAAAAGGGACATCTTCCCCAGCTTTCCAATGTCACAATTACAGATTATCAACTCTGGTTTAAGGTTTTGCATTAAATGCAACATACTTATTGAAACAGTCACACATTAAGCTCTATCAGTCACAGCATCTGATAGCTGTGGTGGAACATGTACCAGAACAAGTCAGAAGACTCGGTTCAGATTCCTGATTTTTACCATCTATTAGCTATGTAAGTCTGGGCAAATCATCTAGCCCTGCCTTCTATAAAATGGGATATTATCTTACCTATCTTGCCTGTAAGTATTAATTATATAAAATATTTTATAGGACAATATTTTATAAACTTTGCAAAAGTTAAGTGGTATTTTAATTACATTATTTTCCAAATAGATTTTGTTTTTGTTTTTTTTTTTATTTCAGCATATTACGGGGTACAAATGTCCAGGTAACATATATTGCCTTTGCCCCACCTGAGTCAGAGCTTCAAGCGTGTCCATCTCCCAGACGGTGCACACCACACCCATTAGGTGTGTATATACCCATCCTCCTTTCCCCCCTCCCATCTGCCTGACACCCAGTGAATGTTATTACTATATGTGCACTTCAGTGTTGCATTTTCCAAATGGTAGATTTTGATAAGAGGGGCAGTGGAAGGTAGAGAGAGCACAAAATCTCAAAGGGGAAATGTTACTTTTCATATAGCTATTGAGCAGTATACTCAAACTTTTACCCCTGTTCAGAGTTCTTTCTACCAGAGGTTCCTTCCTGCTGTCTATAATCAGACTTAAAGTGCCAACTAGGATTTGGCATTTTAATAGGAAATAAAGTTTTCAAATGAAGAGGCTCTGGGTAAAAGAGAAACTTAATTCACTTCTGTGTAGGGCTTAACCAAGTGGTTCTCAATCAGGGGTGATTTTGCTCCCCAGGGGACTTTGGCATGTCTGGAGACATTTTTGGTTGTCACAACTAAAAGGGTACTACTGGTATGCAGTGAGTAGAGGCCAAGGATGCTACAAAACATCCTACAATGCACACAACAGCCCTCCACCACAAAGAATTGCAGAGTCCAAAGTGTCAGTAGTGCCAAGGCTGAGAAACCCTTGACTAAGCTAATACAATTTGCTCATATTCATTCTTTTCATTACCAATCACCCATCCACACTTTAGCTAAAAGTTACCTTTTAGCTAAATGTGCAAGGAATTTTTGGTATTGAAATTACAATGGAGGTTTAACTCTTCCAAACAGAAACCTATTGGGGAAAAAAATACATCTATATATAATCTGTATTGTACCAATTCATAAAAGAAAAATAGTCCTTATAATCCATTTTAATGAACTCTTAATTTTGTAATAGTTTTAGATTTACAGAAAAGTTACCCAGATAATACAGGTGTTCCAGTGTTCCTATATACCCCCCATTCAGTTTCCCTATTAGAATCTTACATTACCATGGTACATTTGTCAAAACTAGGAAACCAACACTGGTAAATTACTATTAACTAAACTCTAGACTACATTTGGATTTCACCAGTTTTTACACTCCAGGATTCAATGCAGGCTACCATTTTGCATTTAGTTATCATGTTTCCTTAGTCTCCTCTGGTCTGGGACAGTTTCTCAGTCTTTCCTTGATTTATATGACCTTGATAATTTTGAAGATTACTAGTTGGGCATTTTTGCAGAATGCCCTACAGTTTGTGTTTGTCTGATGTTTTTCTCATTATTAGACTAGGGTTATAAGTTTTTAGGAATCATACTCTATTTTAACAAATGCTAAACATGTATTAATGTCCTATAACACAGTTATCACTTATTTGTTAAAACAGATAGCTTCTAGGTTTCCTTCTTCACTGAGATGATAAGATGATGGCAAGATTTCAATTTGCAAAAATAATTACTCTGAAATAGCCAAAACAGAATCTATTGTATCAAAGAACCTAATCTTACTTAGAAATTGAACTCCCAATATCCTCAATTTCAGATGCCAACTCTTGCTCAATGTAACTAATCTCAAAAGAAAGGGTAGAAACAAAGATTTAGTTGCAAATAAAATTAACAAATAAATTAAACACTAGTACCTCAGCATCTTGTATCTTTTCAGTTAGACCATCTAATTAGAAATGTACAAAAAGAAATAAATATAGCAATATTCAACTCATATTCATTATTGCTGTTATATTCCAGCTTAAATACTTCAGATTCTACTCACCCGAGATTTCTAATTCTGCCCAGTGAGATTTTTTCCCATTGGCTACCTCCTCTGCTGACATGATGGTATAAATTCTGCGAGGATCTGGAGGATCATATTTTTCCTTTGGCATCCCTATTAGTCTATAAAAAAAGAAGATTAACAATTAGTATAATCTTAATAGGAAAAAAAGAGAAAATGGGATGATAAGTTTTTTCTCTCTCTCACTGCCAGGTTTTTTTTTTTTCTCTTCCACTGTAGTATAAGTCATTTTATACTACAAATCCTCACTTGAGGAAAAAAAAAAAAACATATCTGCAGTAGACCGGTCTCTTGCAGGAACTTACTAATAGATGCCTAAGGGAAAATGCAAACAAGAAACAACACTGGACTTTGCAGTGGTAAACACTGTGGTTTTTTCCTAACCCCTTCCCTTCATTCAGTTGCGCTGCTTTCCTAGACAGACTGATGTTACAGTTTCCTGAATGAACTCTGACTAGTCTAAGTAATTGTATCCTCCTTCACTTAGTGATATTCAGATATCCCATGCTTAAGACAATCAGCACAGACATTCCCCTTGGTACAGAGATTAGTTCAAAAGTATCCAATAATCACAAAGCCTCAAGATTCAATCTATGTTTATGGGAGAAGCAGGCTTGTCTCTCCTGCTGGTCATAAATGAAGAATAACCCAAATTGCTGCTGGCAGCCATTCAACAACTGTAAGAGAAGCTAGCCATAGAAGGCAGAATCTGGAAAATAGAAAACAAAGTCAGAGTCCTCACTGAATCACACCTGTAGCACTCCCAAACACTGGCCTTCTCAGATACACAAGCCAACATAGTTCCTTTATTGTTTAAGCTAGTTTCAGTTGTGTTTTCTGTTGCTTGCAATCAAAAGTATCCTAATTAGGATGACTACGTATCTTAGCTTGCCTGGGCCAGTACTGATTTATATCTGTTGTTCCAGAAGTAATTTTTTATCATTCCTTTTCACTCTCAAAAGTGTCCAATGTGGATGAGTTACATGGCCAACCTAATCAAAACCAGTACTGTCATGAGTCACTTAACACCAGGGATATACTCTGAAAAATGCATTGATAGGCAATTTCAGCATTTTGCCAACATCACAGTGTATACAAACCTAGATGGTATAACCCTGTGGTCTCCAACCCCTGGGCCATGGCCCTTTAGAAACCAGGCTGCACAGCAGGTGGTGAGCAAGCGAAGCTTCATCTGTATTTACAGCCACTCCCCATTGCTCGCATCACCACATAAGCTCCACCTCCTGTCAGATCAGCAGCGGCATTAGATTCTCATAGGAGCGCGAACCCTACTGTAAACTGTGCATGCGAGGGATCTAGGTTGCAAGCTCCTTATGATGATCCAATGCCTAATGATCTGAGGTGGAGCTGAGGTGGTGATGCCAGTGCTGTGGAGTGGCTGCAAATACAGGTTACCATTATCAGAGAGGTTTGACTGTACAATAAATGTAGTATGTCTGAATCATTCCGAAACCGTTCCCCCACAGTCTGCAGAAAAGTTGTCTTCCATGAAACTGGTCCCTGATGCCAAAAAGTTTGGGGACTGTTGGTATAACCTATTACACATCTAGGCTATATGGTATAGCTTATCATTCCTAGGCTATAAACCTATACATTATGTAACTGTACTGAATACTATAGACCACTGTAACACAATGGTAAGTATCTGTGTATCTAAACATAGAAAAGGTACAGTAAAAATATGGTATTATAATCTTACATCACTGTCCACTGTTGATTGAAACGTTCTTATGCAGTGCATGACTGTATTATGCCACCATCTTCATGTAACAAAATAATCACTGAACCATCATCAGTGATGACCAACTAGACATAAAATTCCTCAGATGTGCTAAGTAAGAAGGAGATGACAGATGTCCCTAAACTTATTCAAGGGGTCTGATACAAGTCTTACTACTTGGTAGTAGGCAGGAAAAAAATCCAGTACAGATCTAATATGAATAGAAAATGATACAAAGTCCTGAGCTTAATTAAACTCCTGCATGCTGTCAGTAAATTGTCACATAGTATTTATAGTTGGTTCTTTGTTCATATTTTAATACATACACACACCAACCCCCCTCAAAAAAAGTATCTGAATCTGGTACCGTCTCTAAGTAGAATGCAGAACTTCCATCCCAAATGGAAGATTAGTTTCAAGTGGTCTGAAATTTGTTACATACAGAGAATAAAGAAAAATTACAGGTATTCTATCAAAAAATCAAAGCTAGTTTATAAGAGTACAATAAAAAATTTACCACACAACCATTTTCTCTCATATTTCTGAAGGGAAAATAGTCATTCCTTTCCATTTATGTAAAGGGGGCAAATCGAAAGTTTTCCATATTTGTTCATGTGTAAACAGTAAGAGGTTCCCAAGTTTCTGAGTTAAGCTTCCTCAACTCTAATCCTATCAATTTGGGTGATACTAAGCCATTTTATTTTCCATAAATATCTTTGAACTTCATATAGCACAAAGAATATGATCATTTTCCAGAGGAGAAAAACTTGATTTCTACTACATTCAGCCTATGTATAATATTTCTGAAAATAAGGTTTTTACCAGAGTTTTTAGAATTTCTACTGTACACCATAAGGTACATGTATCTCTGTAGGTACTTTTGCATACTAATATAAGAATCCACAGAAATACAGGATTAAGTAAAGCCAAACCAAATTGATCTAAATCCAAACACATGCTACATAATCCATTACCTACAATGACGATGGGTAAAAAACGAAAACTACTAAATAGGTTTTATTAATTTTAGATCATTTTTATAAAACACAAGACATAGGATTAGAAATCAACTTAATCTGACTGTTTTAATATGGTTCCCACGAGATAATATGTTAAGTAAGGGGACGGTGAGTTATTTCTGTGTGGAGGCATGTACTTTTTATAATCTCTATACAGTTCCTGCCACATAGTAAGCGCTTAATATGTATTTGTGGAATGATCATAGGCTTTATAATCCTAAAATCTACCACTTTCCTCCCACCCTTCCCTTCTCAAGCTAATTAACATCCTATGCTTTTCTAAAAATTAATCTAAAGAAATAGTAATAAATCTACATGTTTGATTTTCCCCAATATCTTTAAAATCTAGATAAGAGAAGTCGCCATCTTTTCTGGCGCTCCAATTATAATCTCTAAAATAGATACTATATATATAACAATTTTTTTAATTTTTCATTTTTCCATCTTTATAAGCCCATTAAAATTACAAAACCTCTTCCTTAAAAACCAGCTCCATAAAATGTTTACCAATATCTATAATAAGTAAAAACCAAAGTAATATTAATACTGCCATATTACGGGTCAGAGGTCTATTTTGGATTCAATTAGGATGCCAATAAAAACACAAATCACTTAATTCTTCAACATGATCTAGATTTAGATCATCTAATTGAAGCTAAAACATTTTTCATTTAACTATAATAACTAATTTAGTATAGTTCTAGTCACTACTACTCCAAACATCAGGTTTTTAACCGTACTATTAAAAACTCGGATTCAGGAAATTAGCATTATTGAATCCTTCTGTTCAGCTTTATTTTCCCTTCTCAGGTCCTCGGTATCAACTTTCCACCTTATGGGCATACAACAAAAATCAATTTCAAAATAACTTAAAATTATGAAATAATCATTCAAATGTAATTTAAATCTCTAAATGTGACACTGATATTCTAATAGTCTCATATGGGTCAGTCCAAGGCTTAAATATTGAGTGATGAACACTTTTCATTCAAGAAACAAAATTGTTTTATTTGGGAAAACCTAGCACAGCTAATTCCTTTCCTTATCTTTAATTTCAAATTGATAAAGAGGCAAGTTTTTAAATTAGTTTTTCCCAAGAGTTTCTAATTTCTACAACATCTTATACCAATTCCCAAAGGATTTTCCCATTACATCAATCTAATTTATAGTGGAGATCCTGATTACGAAACAAAGTAAACTGCAACACATTTTTAATTTCCCATTTTTCAAGACCATTTCAACATTATGAAAAATACTCTACATAGTTCCCCAAATACTAAGCTGCATTAAACCTGCCATCCACTCTCTCTTCCTTAGCGTATCACTTAACAGCCTTCAGAGACTCTACTGTAAAATTTCTGAGAATAACCATCAGTCCTAGACAAGGAATCTGATTAACTCCTACTTCTTAGTCCCTATGTGAATTATTCCAGTTTTAATCTCTATCATCAAAGGCTGACTAAATACTACCAACCACATAGTGAAAGTTTTCATAAATTTGTCAGGCAGTCTTCTGTTCCATTAAGCAAAAATTTCAGATAAACCTGTGAAATGCCAACTTTATAGAAAATGTATTTTAAAGCCAGGCACAATGGCACATGCCTATAGTCACAGCTACTCGGGAGTATCACTTGAGGCCAGGAGTTCCAGGCTGCAGTGTGCTACGATTGTGTTTGTGAATAGCCACTGCATTCCAGCCTGGGCAACATAGCAAGACCTCATGTCCTTAAAAAAAATTTTTAATGTATTTCAATTTTTTTAATTACAAGGAATATTATACATAACACTAGGGCTATTTTACATAGAAAAATTTAGATTGGAGTCTCCAAAACTGCAAATAAAAGATACCTACATAACATGCTATTTCAATGAATATAGTATTAAAAAATACATATAAAATACACCCAATATGCCCAAGTATACTATTACTAAAGAATTCCAAATCTCAGGTTTTATATCTAGGACTAGGAAAATAAAGCAGCATAATTCCCCCTGACAAAATAAGCTGAGCCAAACCTGAGCAAACTGTTGAAAAACAGAACTAAACTTCCATAAATATTGGTCATCCAGAGGCACTTATAAAAACAGTGGCCTCTATCTATACTGTATGTAAAGATGTAAGTCCTATATCTTCCCTCTCAACACCGTAAGTTTAAGACCATTTTATCTCAGTCTATAGTTGAGCACAATTACTATTATTTCCTTTAAGATTCAGACTAAGAAAGAACGCTACAACCACCAAAGACTGCTTCATAATGAATCACACACTTCTAACTTAATGGGATTCAACCTGAAATATGAATCATTAAAGATGTACCTATTTCCATAGAAATTTTAAGTG